GAGGAAGAAGGGGTGGGGGGGGGGGGACTGGCCTAAAGTCACTCAGCTGGCTTTCAGGCCTAAGATGAGACCAGAACATTTAAAAGATAAGAATTCCAGAAACCCTGTTGGAAGTAATATGGCAAAAGATTGCTCCAGGAAGCACATCAAGTCAGCTGGGAGAACCAGTCCCCTTGAGCCCACAAGAAATAGTTTACTATTAAAAGGAGCTGCACCCCTCCTATGAGACTTACCTTCAGCCTCTGGAACTGCTGCTGCCCCTGGACTGGTGCTGCTGGTGGGGTCGGGTGAGCGTGGCTTTGCACCACTTGGCTCCCGTGGGGCTGAACAGGGGTGGGGTGGTGGTGCCCGCTATGGACGGTGGCTAAAGTGGGCCCGTGGCTGTTGGAGCTCTGTGGAACGGTTGACACCTGGTGAGGCAAGGCAAGACAAGCCACAGAGGTTAGGATCAGCAGGATCCTGCCCACGTTCAAGCAGGTGCATGAAAGCCTTCTTTCACAGCTACGGCGAAAAAGACTTTTGGGTGAGGGCATTAGCCGAACCAGCTAACAGTCCAACCTACAACTTTGCTATCGGGTATTATCTTGAGGATGTTAGGAAGTCTTCTCCAAACTTCTGTGGGTTAGAAGCTCAAAACCCTTTGACGTGGCTGCATGCGTCCTTGCTACGGCCACCGGGCACTAATTCAGGGGACTGCACCAATAAGCATTGTGTATCAAAACAGTGTCCGCTCCCAACAAGGACTACAAGAATACCATTTCTCAAAGGCAGAAGAGAGAACACAACTGTTGCTGTTGTGCAGCTCCTTCTCCCAGGAGCATGTGGGTCACTTCAGTTCTTTAGAAGGGGACATGAAGCAGCTCTACCTGGTAGCTGGGAGTGACGGAGTACTGGATCCCAGTAGCAGACTGCATGGTCTCCGAAACAGACTCATATACAGGAGGGGCTGGAGCAAGCACGCGATGTTGGTGCTGGAAGGGTTCGGCACTGCTGGCGATACGTCTCTGCTGTGACGCATATACAGGTGACTCCTGTTCCTCCACTCGCCGCTTCATTCTGAATTCATGCTCAGGAAAGTGCTACAAAACCTGTTGAGAGAGAGAGAGAAAGGAGCGAATAGAGACGATTGGCCATCCCCTCCCGACCTTAACGATCTGAGCGATCGTCTAACGTCAAGAAGGCAGGGCAGCGAAGGAACACCTCTGGTTATTCATTTGGACTACGACTTCCTGGTTGAAGAGACAGTTTAGACCCCCAGAACTGGAGGATTACAGGCAATAATACAGCTCAGTAGGAGAACTACGTATGCCTTACCACACCAAGTAGCCCGGCCTCCTAAGACGGGGAGATTTTATCACGGCCCAAACGCAACAATGGCAAAGAGGGCTCGCTGAAAACGCTCTGCTGAAGTGGAAGTGGCTTGCCCTTCACAGCCTGCGCATCTTATCAGGGATTTGTTTGGTAACCTGCCTTATGGATGGCAAAGGGAAAGAGAAAAGCCCTATCCATCATATGTTCTCATGGTGCTGTAGCAGGTGACAGCATGAAGCTGGCCATAGTTGCTCTTAAAAAAAAAAAAAAAAGGAAGAGGTTGGATTGGTTAGTACTTGGTTGAGAGACCACCAGGAAATGATAGGACAGTAGGTTATCCTGGGCAGTCAGCATCCTGGAAGAAGACTGTGGCAAACCCCTTCTGCACTATGGCCTAGAAAACCACATGGCCGTGTCCATGACATAGAGGGATACCATGTTTTTGCTTTTTCATGGCAGGTCTAGTGTTTTGCTACTAGTGTCTGTAACTCCCCTGATTTACCCAATTCATCTCTTCTTTCTTTAAAACCTACTTCAGCCTTTCAACAGCGCCAGCAAATTTACATCCTCTATAATTTCAACACAGGACAGTAAGGATTTGAATTTGAGCCTTTTTAATAGATGGAGATTTAATCCAAACATTGTTTAATAGAAGAATAATGTCAAGAAGAGTACAATGCCGTGTTCTTTAAACCAAAAGCCCAACACTTATGAAAAGATAGTTGGTGTATCCAGTGTATTTCTGCTCTATACTCTGGATTCCAATTTTTTAAAAAAAATAAATACCTTGATCATAATCTGCAGGATCTAGGCTCCCATGTGGTTTAGGAGGCTAAATAGAAGTGATTTAAGTAATGCATAATTTTCACTTGGCGTATTAATTCTGAAACATGTCAGAAGAGAGCACTAATTGCATTTAAAGCATTTATTGTAAGCTTCACTGGCATCACAGCTACATGAATGAGTCACTTAGATTCAGCAGCATAGAAGCATAGTAAACATCCTCCCATGCGTTGCTCCCAAAGACACACGCAAATATACACACCTTCCACATGCTTTGAAGCAGATGCTACTGAACTGCCCACAGGATTCAGCAGAGAGCTGCTGGAACAGATACTACGCTAAAGAATCATAAACTCTTTTCCCTTTCAGAATGATGAGCAAAATCCTTTTGAAATCAGCATTTTAAAATAGTTCCTAGCACCATCCCCCTGGCCTCCATAAACTTGCTTGCCAGAACACAAATGTATTAAAGGCAAGCTTTTTTCCTTCATCCTTCACACTCTCAAATCAAATCTGTGCATGCTTAAGCCAACATCTGCCTTTGATTAGGATCAGTTTCTGTTTGTAGAACAGAAAGGATACTTCAGCCTAATTAATACACTTCTACTCTTGCTTAAACCTGAAGTCCACAGATCTGTGTTAAATGAAATACGATCCAGTTTAAGGTTTACTGACATTACCCTATTTCCACTCTTCAGTACCTAAAATGAAGGCATTTAAGGAGCAACACGTTATTCCTCCTATCCGGACTGTGGCTTTTTCTTTCTGCCTGCAGTGCAGATGAATTATACAAATGTACAAGCATTTCATTGCAGTAATTGAACATGCTCAATGAGCCACTGAGCACGTGAAAATTAATCAGTGAAAATATACCTGAAGAAAGCATTTCACGCCAAATGATGATCCTGGGAGATTCACTGCTAAGGGGGAAACAGACAATGCTGGGACCAGAAGGGTCCCTACCGGGCCTACGTTCCAAACTTGTAATGTGTATTTATTGGAACTGCAAATACATACACACACACACACACACACACACACACACACAAATCCAGAATGGTACTTGAAAGGATACACTAACTTTCCACCACTTGGTAGGTCTAAACCAGTGTTTCTCAACCTTGGCACCTTTAAGCTGGGTGGAC